ACCTTGTTTATGTTAGCAGTCACGCAACATGTTACACTGTGTCACACATCTTCATGTGTTACATATAACTTTTAACAGACCTGTAATGCAATGGTTCACCATTATCATTCATGCAAGCRTCACACTTGTTGTGTGACATGTCATGTCTAATAATCCTTAATGATATTATAGTAAGTTAAAGGAGCACCAGCTTCCACGTATTCAAGTAGGGGACCCAGTTGCAAGGTACTTTGGTCTTAAACGAGGACAAGTAGTTAAGATAATTCGACCTAGTGAAACAGCTGGTCGTTATATAACATATCGACTAGTAGTCTAAAGGAACATCCATACCTTTGTATATACTGACATTTGCAAAATCAATCTAAAATGGTACATACTTTGAACTTGTATTTCTAAATATTCATGCCAGCTTAAAATATAACCAAAGAAACAAAGTGAAAACAAATACATGTAGGGCACTCTTCTCAAATCTGAAACGATGGTAGATTAACTGGCATTTAGTTCAAATTTTTAATAAAATCTTTCTTATTCTGATTCTTCTTAATACTGAATTGTTATTCTAGCTCATTTACAATCATATTCATACTTCGTTTAAACTCGGAATAAGCCGAATACGAATTATATTTCCGGGAAACTCATTTTTATTCTGATAATTTGCTTTGAATACAAAACTCTCATTTATGAAGATTGCTTCAAATTACGGTGAAACTTACACATTTTACACACTGGGTCAGTACTTCATGTAAGATCACATGAAGTGGCACTAATAACTAATATCTATATTACTATATTAGTGTTACGATAAGGTTAGGCTATTAATGGGGTCTTTCATGAAGTATTGACCGGTGAAATTTGTCGTCAGCCGCGCGCTGTAATCCAGACTGTGCATGTTATGAGGTTTTCTTATCGTAGGTGTGGCAAATAGTAACGCGAGATAGAAAACTCAAATCACAACGTAGAATTTTTGTTAACTCAGATTTACAATGGTTGATGTCGGGGGAAAATCGACGTTGAGAGAACGAAAATGCCGATGAATCGTTCATAATTAAAAAAGTAGAAAATATCTTTGACAGAATACGGTAGATCACTGATAATCTGTTTTTTTGATATTGCTTTCACTAGTGTATCGAGAATACAGGTGAACGTGTCTTCCCCCACCGTGTGAAAATGATTGAATCATGTCATCGAGGAGGGCAGAGAACGTTCTTTTCTCGGCATCAGTAACTTACAAATAGACAACAATAGAACTCACAAGTTGACATATATTGCAATACATAGGAGACCTCTGAGAATATCCCAACTATTAAGGTTTTTCAATCCCTTCAAGATGAATAAAGCTTGATGTATTTTGTACACACACAGTCCCCGACCACACTTGTTAGAACAGACTGGACACCAAAATACATCTTCTTGTAAGTTTAGAACTTTAATTGAACGAGAATAATCAGACAAGGCTTTTTGTATCTAGGGAATTTCTATTGTAATAGACTTGAATGCATTTTAATTTGTTTCCGTATGTTTAGTGAGCAGGTTTCATGAAAGGGACGAACAAGAAAGGGGAATTCCTAGCTTTTAAACAACTGTTTAATTTTTTTAATTAACGACAAGAAATCTAAAATTGATAACTGCAATATGTCTGTAGTAAACCAAGTTAGCTCGCTCTTTTCGTGGTTTCTTTTCATTCAGTTATATTTCATATTTTTTCATTCATTTTTCTATTTTTCCTTTCTTTCTGCCCTTCAAATTTTCATCAAGAGGTCGTCTAGTTTCTTTTTTCTTCGACATAGTAGTTTTTATTATTTCATTTTATCAACCAATCTTTCCCTGTATCCATAACCTCTTACCTCTCCCAAAGTAGCCGTAATAGTAACTTGAAAATCGTGTAACGTGGCACATAAGATATATGACCCCTTAGATAGTTGGTTGTCATGGCAAAAGCAGTGCGCGTTACCCACAGGGCTCAGTAGATAATGCATTATGCTTTCTTCCGTAGTATTGTCAGATTGACGCATAATTTAKTCTAGTTTTCAATCATTAAAGCTCTTTGATATGCTAAAATTAAAGACCTGTGCTTTGATATTTGTATCGTCTTTTGAGAGTGAAGTATTAAAGCCCTAGTTATCTACCATACGGACTTCTATTTACTTTGAATACAACCGTATTCACGACCAACACGGCGACCTTACAGTTGGTCTTCTTTCAATATAGAGATGTTAACATGACTATTTATTARGTTCGACCCTTTGGCTAGCCACAGGGAGCCCGTCAAATTGGATTTAGCGAASTGTGGGGTCGGATTATGCGGCTGGTGCTATATTGTTCTCGCGCTACGGCTGCGGGTTTACATTTTTTATTTCCTTTAAAAGAAAGAATTTAATGTTTTGAKCTCTGTAGGGTATATTTTTATTGTTTCTTAGATTAGTTTCGCTAATATTTCAACGCAGATCTATTGAATTAAAGTTACTGGGTAGCCGAGCCTAAAACTTTGTCTTTTTGCAGTTATTATTTCCATTTTTTTTCCTTTCTGTGGAAAATTTTGTGTAACTACGAAGAAACTAGAAGCATTTCAAAAGGAAGTCGACCGCTGAGTCTTTGAATTTTTTTCATTTTAACAGATTTACATAGTTTGCCTCCCTGACAATTTTTCTCCATTCATAGCGATTCCTTTGTGATGAGACTATCCAATAAAGTGTGGAAATTTGAACAGAATTCAGCTTCTTTGCTTTTACCGCTTTCTACTTTCCATGTAATTGTGCTTATCGGTTTCCAATACCGCTGTCAGTTGTATTTGGAATAGATGTTTTGTTTCATTTCCTGGTGTATAGGTACTCCTAATTATTTTCAAAGCGCATCATTAATGAAATCGGCGAGTTTTTGCGGTAGCGATTCTCATTTTGCATCATGTTTTTACTAGTAATTTACATATTTCATTCTGTAAATAATAGGACTCATTCATCAAGGGTTTCACACCAAAGACCGACATTAACCAGTTTTAAATGTTAACCATGATTTATTAATAACGCTAGTTTAATGTACGCTATTTTTTTTAATCTAATAGGTGATGCTGTACTTGTAGTGTGTTCAAAGGGTCTTTATCTTTTAACAGGTGTTCCCGACTACCTGTGCTTTTCAACTAGCACACAAGTCAATTTTCTCAAAGTACGGAACAAAGCTTGTGGGGTATTTCAATTCGAATTGTATTGTTGAATCTCAACACTTTTAATGTTTTCTTGAATAGCAGTTATAGTTTATAAGAAATGTTAAAGTATTTCGTATGGTTTGCCACAAATATTCACCGAATWCTGATCCCAAATCTGTAACTCCCCTGGATGGGTTTTAATGGATTTCAACAACAAAAACACAGCTCTACTTTTTATCCAGTGAGCTCTCCCAGATTGCAAATTGATAGAGACCTCATAGTTCATTTGTCATGTCGCAGACAATATTTCTATAGATGCTTTGCCTGTGAGTTCGRTTTTTTGTAGCACATTTGTCAACCGATTTTTGTCTTATACCACGTTTGGAACAATAAACCTTCGTCTGTCTAGTAACATAAATTATTTCACATGTACCGATCTATTGTCAGCTCGTCATTGCACTTTGACATTTAACGTTYCAAAAGTGAACGTTGAAAATGCCAGCCCGCTAGCAGGTTACCATGCACGTTGCCACCAATTCTGAGAATCTAAACCTCTGTTTCTAAGAGTTCAACGGTGAAATCAAAGTTCTGAATTTGATGGACACTCTAGCTTATGGCAATAATTATTATAGGCGTTAGCCGAAACGATCTTGAAAGTATTTAGCTAGTATGGGCTTCATAGRCTTGCTTCGYGGTACACGACTTATCATGAAGTGTCAGAAAATGAAGCCCCGCGAGATATTCAGATATGGGGCCAGTGTATCTTAAAAGTCACCAATTCTTTTCGCTTGTTTCTCTTTGAACTTACTATTACGAGTGTAAAGTCTTCAATGAATGATAGACCACGCAGTAATACACGAATTATCGTTCAAATAAATTTATTTTCTCTTCTTTTTTAAAAATGTTTTTAGGTTTTTCAATGTTCTATTCAGTAATAATTTATCGATATACCATGTTTACCTTCACAAATGAAAGCCCATCCACATGTTTTACGTGTAATATAATATGAATTTCCTGGATGGGAAAATATAATTTTCAAAATAAATAACATAACTGATATTGAGTTAACTCAACCGATTTTCTGTCTTATTAATTGGACAAGTTTCTTCTTCCCTTTGTAGAGAACTTTCATATTGTTAAGAAGTGCATTRAATCGATGAGAACCATCYTCAGCGAGCTCAAARACTTCTTTTGCTTTTCTAAGAAAGTCTATRAAGTCAGTGTAATGTCTTGGGCTGATGTGGTTGAGTCTACTATGAACGGTGTTCACGTAMGCATTAATTGTGCATTCCAACAGTTGATGCAAAGGTTCTTCATCACAAAGAGCGAACTTTCCAAACGTTCGCGGACACGAGGACGTGGTCTGCGCAAATGCGCAACGGAAAAGAATGTCTGACAATACTGTAGGGCAATGCACTGCTTTGACAATCAGTGGTATAACTTTACTAAGTTCATCTCGTCCAAGTGAATGAGCTAGTGCGCATGTCCACTGTATATCACCAATAGACGGRTGTGAGTCTTGGTTGAAGGCTAAAGTCGAGTGCTTGACTGCTAGTACTGCTAGTCTAAAAGCACGACGRCTTAAGTTCCTATGTTCCATATATCTCGCAATAGCAAACAGYTGCAACGGTGAGATATTCGATGCCGACTCCAACACGAGTTGATATGCAGCCTCAAACGACACAGGGTCCTTTTCACATAGGGCCAAAGCTGGTAGGCAGCAATACTTAGGTTCTCTGCTGGCACACTGCAAAGCAAGGGCCCTTGCACATCGATTAAGGGCCTCTCTCTCGACTGCTGTTAACTTGAGTCTTATCGCTGTGGCAGGAGCCATGATGTTTGCAGCGACGAGAGATGTGGCTTCAGTTGGTGAGAAAAGTTTGCTCCAGTTCTTCATGATAGTACTCAAAGCAGACGTACCAAGCTCCACYGCACATTCAATCGACCACTGTACCATGTCATGTCTCCTCCAGTTCTGTGAATCAAGTGTCATTCGAAGWGCTTGAAGTCCYAGTTCCATMGCAACTTGAAGCATGCCTAAATCACGGTTGTTCTCTAAGATATTGTTATTAACTCCAGCAAGTTTYAAAGCATCTTGTGCCAACCGAAAGATCTGTGATGCTGAATGAACATGTCTTTGGATATTGAAGAGTACCGCTGACATTCTTGTGTTGTTGCCTTTAGCAGCATTGAGCATGCGTAAAGCAAGTTCACATTGTTGTGATTCCAAGTGTCCTAGAGTGTACCAACGAGTAAGGGTTGTGCGCATGACATCTAAGCCTTGATTGTCATCATCACTAACAGCGTCTAATACTAGAAACCGCATCGCTCGAAGTGCAACATTGAACGCCAGTTCGGGATCTTTAGACACAAATATATTGAACAAGAATCTGGCAAAGGTGTGCATGGGGACGCTACGGTGATGAACTCCAAGGCCCAGCCCACTAAATGGACCTCCACCGTATAAAAGTTCTGTTTGTCGACATACAGTATTGTACAATTGGTCATCAATAGTCAATAAACTAAGCTGGGCAAGCAAGTGTTCTTCCTGGCGACAAGCTTTGTCCTGGGAATAAAATCCTTGTGGCATTGCCCGCTGCTGTCCTAATCCCATCATRGCGACCTGCACAGCAATTGTAAGATAGCTTTCTTCATCRTCAACACGACCAATAGTTGGTACATGAACAAACTTCTTGGTGTCCTGTGATGTTTTACTGGATAAACTAGAATCTTCTTTTGAGTCAGAGTCGTCTACGGACGCCGCTTCGATAAGCGTGTCATAGAGAACAACAATGGGGTCAAGAGGATGTCCAATCCATCCCTCGACTGATTCCCCGGTACCGTCCTCGTACAACTGAGCTTCAAGATCAGTYTCGTTGTATTTTTGAGCAAGTTCCTCCATCTTGTGATGTTTRTGAACTTGTTCTTCGTRCATTCCACGTGCTACAGCGAGTGCAAGTTTGACGGCCTCGTTKGGGTAGCCATGCGCTCGTAGAGCGTCAACTCGTGCTGCAGCAATAGGTACTTCCTCTGCAGAAAAATAAACAAAATATGTGTGAGCTGTATCATCACCATATAGAATTGTTTATATCTTCATGATTATCGTATTAACAATCATCACACGTACCATTCCATGTAAAATATCCCTCTTCACTGACGTCACATCGTCCAATAATCTTTTKCAATTCTCTGTCCTCCCAGTTGAGTCCACATGTRTGGATTGCACGAGAGAAAATCGTACTTTTTGCAACATTCTCCGTCTGGTCGTTGTTGTTCACATCTTCCGATGAATCAGGATTCTCAAGAGGGCACACATCTCGCCGGCTCCAGTCTTCCAGYTGATCTTTCCACACGGCTTTTTCTGCCTCGCTGGAGTCTGGGTTGAGAACGACGCATACCCATAATGCTCCAAGTTGGTCCCAAAGCTGCCGACATTTGTCGTTCATGGACGTTCCTTGTTGTTTCCATATTTGGAGACGTGGATCCTCGAGGAATTGTTCAGTAATTAGCTTGAGCATGCGTGAACCATTTTTGTCGTGAACACGAAGCATTTCACGGACCTGTGAATTACAATAACAACAATGATTAGATAGGTATTTAACATTTAACCATTCGTTCATTAATTCACTCGTTCTCTCATTCAATACAAAGCAAGCAGTTGACATKGTTACCTTTGCAAACATCGATAAGAGTTGCCGTCCACTATTACAATGKCCACCTTGAGATAAGTAGCTCCTAACTTGGTCTCGGACCTGCTCGGCGTCCAAATGCCAACAATTATCATCATCAACRCTTGCCCCTGCTGTAGGATCGGGTGCCCCCGCAAGTCGGTTAATTTCCGAACTCTTCTTGAGAATTTCGTCGGCCAGACGCTGTGCTGTCGGAAGTACATCGGAATGATGCTCGGATAACATATATTGTACAAGTTTTTGCAGTTGATCTCTATTCATTTGTGAGAGTGTCTCTGATATTGGTACTCTTAACGTGACACGATCAGGGAAGCGAATGCGGAATAATGAAACAGCAACAACRTGCGAGCACCATAGAATGTCCTTTGTACCGCATGAACAGCTCACGGAAGTGATCTTACAACGATCAAAACTAATGGACACATTGTATTCTTGACTTTGCTGTCCATAACGAGTTTCTTCTATTTCAACAACTTTACCGCTAAGACTAAACCCTGAAAGAAAGACAAACGAGATCAATATCGAATACAAAGGCACCGCGCTATTAAAACAACTTGAGGGTTTGTGTACTTAGTGATAAAACCAACGAATGGTAAAACATTTGGAGTGTAATGTAATATGTACAATGACTAGAACTATCAAAAAAGACATCCAAATGAACTTGAAATAACGCATCATTTCCTTTAGTTAAAGTGCGCGCTTTATGTTATGTATTAGAGTAATACCACGAAATAGATTGACTAATACACCTTTGTGCTCGCTAATTCCATTATTTTTCTTATCGCCATCGGACTCATTTGATTCTTGGACTTTTTCACATGTTCATTATCATCTGTCTTTGAGTACTATCAAAATATTCTCGAAATAATACAGATAGTACCAACATAAAGTATCTTTGATCTATCCATAATATGCACAAAGAACACCCTCTATTGTGCATACAAGAAGGAGGTCAAATATTCACCCTTTAAATGAAATAACTGCTCACTTCAGCAGCTTATCCCCCACCCTAGCATCTGATATCAGCCGAGTGGAAACTTCATTAAATTCTTAATTTTGACATGAACCTCTCGGATACTCCTCGTATATCTGTGTATATATTTCAGAATAGAAACATAAAGACACGCTCCTCATTCTACAATGGCCTTATAAGTAGTCTGTTACTATGGTGACTAATCGCTTTAGCCGTATTGACAGCCTCTCGCTATTCGTGATTTCTAAACACCGCAATCTGTCATCGATAAACCGCCATAAGCTACAGCTCGAATCGCGTCGCCAGTTTGTCTGACCATCCGCTCTAATCCATGCCACCTGCCTGGCTATTCTCCGGCTACAGCGCCGCTCAGTCTCGACCCCAGGGCGTATATACCGCCGTCAACTCCATGGGGGAGTGGACTGGGAATTAACGCTGTCATCAGTTCAATCTCCAGYCGCATCAACGAGATCACAGCACGATAGCTCCATAGATAATCATGAGCTAACCACATAAAGAAATGGAAAACGATGAGTTGAACGCACAATAAAGCTGCTATGCTTTGTTTATTTTGTAAGACTTGATCCCAGTCSTTCAATAACAATGGRAAAAGCATCCAGTATTTAAATCAGGGCTTAAAGTCGATAGTTATACACAGAACTAAAGCATTAAGCAATTCATTTGATTACCTAAAAGAGACAGTCCTAATGGTGGTCGACGATAATCGCCTAACGCGTGGTGTGATTACCGACACCCAAATGATAGAAAAAATCCACATATCGCGAAATTAAATAGCCCATGGGCATCAGTCGAAATAATGAGAATCACTAATACGTGGCACAATGCTTAAGCCAATGTTTAACTCTATCAAATCACTGTTTCTATAAACCTTTTGTAGGGCACATAGAAAAGATTGTTGTTTGTGCATTTGTTCTTCAGGCAAGTCGTGGCACTAATGACAARCACTATTCAAAGACGATATTCTTATTTTCTTWTCAATCGCTGTTTTTCAGAATCTACAGAAAAATCCCTCGGAGTTTTGTTTCTCATTTTGATAACGTAGTAGATATTTTGAGCGCTCTGTGGAGACGTATCTACTCAAACAAATACAGCCAAAAGATTGTCGTACGCTTCTTCATAAAAAGTCCATTTTGATTTTATGAAGATCAATATAAACGCATACGTAAATTGAAGTCTAAGTTGAGGAAAATCGTAAAACTCAAGAACCTACTTGATAGAACCCTTTGCCACCCTGACAGGCKRAACCTTCACTTTCACATGGAACCAGAAATAGTACTGACATCCTGGACGCTTTTTTTATAAACTTTGAAGTTCACAACATGGAATAAATTAAGGTCAGAAAGGGGTATATTTTGTTAAAATATAATAAGGTCAGTTYTTTTTATTTTGTTTAAAAGTTCGCTTTGTGGGTCCAGCGAGAAAGAATAAACACTTGAAAGCTTCAATGAGTTCCTATACAAGCCACTTAAACGACTCAATGACCTGGTTGGACATTATTTCAAAGGTCGGTACGGCTTCCAGACTGACATGTTGGAAATATTTCATTCCCTTTCAAAATCGTTTTTCTCAGCGGAATTATTGTTCCTACAAGGCAATGAAGAGGATTCCAATAGAGGGGATACGCTTGGGGGGGGCGACAACGCGAGACAAACTGTCGCCTATCACTCTATGAATTTTGGCCTAAAATTCCACACGACGACAAATCTAGATTTATCTTAATATGTCAGTGAAGTGTCCTGCATTGCAATAGAACAACACAATTTAGAATACTTGGAAGCTTTTGAACACTTTTTAAGGAAAATTCAAGATAGGAAGATTTCCGATTTGACAGACGTGCTAAAACTCGTTTTCGGAAAAGATAGATTTTCTTTCTATTATCTGTTTATGTTTCATGTTTTGGTATTTTAAGCTTAACCAGTTTTAACCAACAAATGTTATATTTTTTACAAGGTTAGGATATAAAATACAAGAATATTACATGATTTTTATTCTTTTTTAGGTTTAAGAGAATTTTTGAATTGTTCATTTGGTCAGTTGTAGTAATTTTCAATCAAATACTATTCAAACATTTGTTGAAGCGGAACTTTTTAAGTTTTTTTTTAACTCCGTTCTTTTTCAGTTTCGAATGCGTTATTCAGAACTCATTACGCACAAATTGTACGAGAAATAATCACAACTATCAAAATACCATTTCTWTTTTTCTTTTCTTTTAGAGTTTCAACATTGATGATGTATTTCTGGCATCGCTACCGTCTTGTGTGTTTTTTTTTTTCACGGAGGATAGGTTACAACAACTTGAGATCTACTGCTTGTGTGTTAGTACCCGCTTATAGTCACTGGCGCCTGAATGTCCAACCAACCTACCCCACACAACGTTGTTCAAAAAACACGGTACGCCAGCAAAGAACTAAATAATCCCCTAATTGCCGAAGGAAATTCAAAATTTCTTCAGGGATTTTTCCTATATTTTTATAAGAAAATAGCAAGTGTATTTTTTTCTTGATATTACTTTGACCATTAACAGTATAGAGTAAAATGATGACAACAGTAAGGAATTTATTCACTCGAATTAATAAATTTACGACTTATTGTAGACAATAAAACATGTAAAAAGACGAAAAACTTTTGATATATCTATTGCTATAGTTTTTCATAGAATTGTCGATATTCCGCTGGGGTATTAATAGATTCTTGAGGTGATATTAACATAGCCTCTAGGTTGCAGACATACTGGCGCTATACTAGAAAAGGCGAAAATCAAACTTATAACCCGGCTTAAATCCTCCCAAAACGCGTACTCTAAACGTTTCTGAACTAGAATTTTTACTAGAACTCGTGCAGCTATTCCATTAATAAGCCGGGTCTGCGTTCCCTCTAACCCAAATGCGGATTTACGTCCAGGGGTACTATGAATTACAATGAAAGTAAAAAAATAAACTTACCAACTTGAAGGGCTTCTGTGACTTGCTCATCTTCTAGAATCTGCAGTCCTTTTTGAAATGGTAGTCTTCGTATATCAGTATGRCAAGGYGTTGTGTGTAATGACGAGTACATACAGATATCTTTCTCATTTCTCGGGAACGACCAATACACCACTCTTAGTTGTACTGGCTCCGGTACGCGCATTATTTTCTCTTCCACGCGTTGGAAAGGAATCGTAGAAGCTACACATTGTGCACTCAGGTCGAGTAACGACAGTGGTTGAAATATCTTGATTTCTTTCGAAATTTTTCTAAGTTTTGGCAATTTTTTAGCAGGAGAAGTGCTCCTTCGACGTTTCCTATGGCCATCCATTTGACTAACTGAGGGTTTGAAGCGCATGCGTGGCTCAGATGTAAACATTAGCAGACGTTAGGAGCATCTCTCTGGGAGGTCTCAACATGAAGGACTTGGGAGACACAAGGCCTCACTATCTATCATCATCAAGCTCGGTTCACATCAGTGAATGACTATTTGTCCTTCATTGGTGTTATCCCAACAGCCTCAAAAATTACTCAACCGTGAATTTAACCCCAATGACTACAAGTTAAGCACTATTTTTGTGTCTTTACAGTATACGGGTTGTTGATTAAAAAGTGTTTTCTCCTTACTTTGATAAGACAGCTGGAGGCCGAGTGCAACACTCCAGGGAATAAAGCCTACATTTCCAAAAAACGTTTGTTCAAATCTTTGGGAAAATGTCTTTATTTTATGTCTAATTTTCGTTAGTCCAAGAGATCTGTAAAATCCTATATAAGTTCAGAATCTATCATGTCTAAATCCCAAGACAAACAYACAATGGTTTGCTAAAGGCTCAGGGACACCGCCAATTGACAGGCTTGCCACGATTAAGTGATGAGGTTGGCGACAGCAAGTCTGGAGCTCAGCCGCACGTGTAGTTCGTTCAGCGTTGATTGACAGCTTTCTATTATCAATATTGTAATTAGATTAATCGATGTGTCAATGCGAGCATGACGTCATCCCTCAGGGCGGGGCTCTCCATTCAAACTTATTCTCCAACCTATATTGTAAAATGAGTTTATTTTCCTTACGAATTAATTTAACAAAGAAGCTCAGAACTGGGGGATTAATTTCCTTTGAGTACGGGTTTAGTCAAAGCGTTTTCGCTAACTCACCAAGCAGCTTAGTTTCACTATTCAATCCTTTTCTGCTCGCCGTGAGAGCGTTTTTCGCCGTCTCACTGGCGCCGTGTTCACAATGGCTTGCGCCATATGTAACTCCACAACATGTAACGAACCAACATTTCCTTTTCGATTATTTAACCCTATTCTCTTCTATCACAAAAAYATKTTACTGAAACCTTACTTTTGTGTTCAAACTATAGTTTAATGTAGTAAATTCACTTTCGAAAGCGTTTTTCGTCGCAAAAAAAGTCGTACGGAAGTGAACCAATCATCCCCAGTCCCCAGCGGTCATTGCTTTACGCTTGCCAGGGGATCGTTCTTGTTTTGTTTTTCGTAGACAGTCCGTCGCCACTAACAATACGGTGTCTCTCCAAGACTGCCATCCCCAGGTTTGCCTAATATCCTATTGGTCATATATCCATGTTTTTGGTTATCCACAGTTTTGCATTCCCACCATGTCGGTAGCATGTAGAAATGATTAAGCGGTTGATTTTAACTTGTTGAACTGGRCAATCTCAGGCGACACCAAGACGAACACACTGCGATCTCCGTGGGGTTATGACAAAGCCAAGAAAGCCAGACTTTGTGACGCCACATAAATCTATCGATACAATGTTAATCTCCCTACGAACAACATCCAAGGAATTACTCAAGTTTGTTTTCTATGTAAGCTTTTCATATGGTATATATTTACTATATTTAGACAAGAAATTCAACGTTTTTTCACTGAATCTTGTAGAACGATAATCAACAAACTAGGACGTTTTACTAATAAGAACTAACAAAACTAAAATCTGTGATGGATGTATGACATGTGTATTGTATATATGTGATAAATGTTATTGGAGATATTGCCGATTTATAAATATATATATAATCATGTTTTCGTCAATCTCACATTGTCTTCTACCGGAGATACTATGGCTGTTTCTGTTTTCCTAACTTGTAAGCTTACTGTAGTTATAAATAATGTTTCRCTGACTGATTTGAAACTCAACAACGTTTCACAATTCAGCCGAGACCTAATGAAATTATTATTTATTCGCTTCGGCCGTTAGTAATGTTTGAAGTTTATTGTGTATGTTGTAAAAGTAACTTAGGAGTCGCACTCTTTTCACGATTCTAGGGTTCTGTTTTCCTCCTATCAACTTTTCGTTGTCTACGTTATGATGGCACATGTAAGATATCTGATATCTTGTGGAATATGCCAYGCATATCATGCATTTTTGAAAGGAATTGTTCAGTGAATGAAGTACAATTATTTATCAAGAGAGTTAGCAAGGAATTAGAGTAAAAACTTTGGTTTCTTGTGCCGYTTTCGTWCAATCAGTGAACAACCTAGGCGAAACAATTTCATATCTGCTATTTTATTCACTATATATTTAGCAATATCTATCTATTCATTATGAATGGGTTGCTGCTAAATATAAACTTATTTATTCTGAGAACTTAGCCTTGTGCTRTTGACAAACCAAACAGTTCGTGTGCTTTCACTGACTAGTTWTTCTGAAGCGGAAACACTTCACGACAAAGAATCGATGTGTACAATTTAACCATCCATACATCAATGGTATGATGGCAAAATTATCATTAGAATGGGATATTTTTCAGTGAACTGAAGATCCCAGTAGTTCGGTTTCTAAAACTGAAGTGTGYAAATCATTGTGAAAAGAATCCAAAATAGTTTATTACAGTATTGAAACAAATATATGCATGTACTGCTTTAGATACCGAATAAAATCCATTTCAACCCATAACTATTTTGATTTTGCTGTAAAATACAATATAACTTTATAGGTGATTATCTGATTCAACTATTTAATATTTTTTTAYTTTGTGTTTATCATCTTTTATCACAGTTAGCTATCGGGATCAGTCTTGACGATTTTGTTTCACCTTGTCCTTGGGCTATATTTTATAATGTAAGCTTGTCTATCAAACATCACAGTACGCTGAATAATATATACAACCCTGTGATTGCTGTTCGACATTTTATAGTAGACATATATAATCACATTGCTTCCTTTTGCATCTATTTTATTTCCATCACACGTATACATGTGTTCAAGTTGAAATCAGTGAGCGATAGTTGTGTCGATTTTATATTGTTCACGACATGATAAAGGAGCGTTGTCTACGCACCATAGCTTGTTTCACGCCGGTTCTCGGGTCTGAATCCAACATTAATAACGATCCTAGAGTAATCGCAAGGAAGTTTGTATCGCATGATATATTGGTTGAACGGACCCCCTTGAACTAAGATGATATGCTATAATCCATTACCCTATGTTGAATGAGTATAACATGACAACAACCCTTAAAAATCGATGCTTGTGTTGAGCTCTGAACCCTTTAAAGTTCGGCTAATTCCTAGGAATTCTTTGTGGTGGCCTATCGATCTACGCATAAAGTGCAACGCAGCGTTTTAAACTTTGACGTTCAAATTGACTTATCGATAATTGTKAGGAAAAAAGCTTAAAAAGAAGTCTTCCTCGTTTGATTTTCGTTGCCCCATGGAGGTATTTCCGATGAGTGATTGATGACACCCATTCACGCCCTATTCTTTTGCGTGATGACCAAATTAACGCGACCATTTATAGCACCTTGTAAGACGAAAAATATCAACGTGTCGATTGATGCGTGTACTAGATCGATATTTTTGGCCCTCAAGTTGTTTCCGCTCTCAGTAAATGAGATAAAAAGARTAAAAACGTGATWTAGAGAGTGCCGATGCCTTCAATGCTGGAATTGTCCAACTCGAAGTTCCGAGTTCCGTTGTTTCTAACTTCCAAGGGGTTCTCTAAGTCGTGACGCAGGGAGTGCGTAGAGGGCTGTAGACATACTTTTCTTTTTGTTTTAATAATTTCTTGGCAAACTCATCTTATTAAAATTCCGACGTCTTTTTTGACTATGAAGAGGTTAGCAGCATTGTACGTAGTTTATATGAAAGACTTTTGATTGCAGATGATCTGCTGTCGAATGAATTATTGTTATTTTTCAATATTATTATTTTTGTTATTAATATTTCGCGGTTGTGGGTACGCCCCGTCCGTAAAGCGTATATAAAAGTCGTTCAAGGTCAATAACACTTATGTTTTACGCAACCCGGAAAAGGTAGTTTCATCAATAAACTATTTATGACCGAATGAAAATAATTTTGTTGATAAAAATTCAACAATTTTGCCGAGTAGAAGTGTTACGAAATATTATATCTATAGCCAGAAGCATGATAGTAGCTAGGAAACGCGGTTCGAAATCGCATGCGTTGTTRGCGTCACAGCTCGGTAGCAACGCAAATGAATAGACTGACATGGAATGTTTATAAAATGCATAATTATCAAAATAAAAAAGCCTTCATAAACTTGGATCACCTCCAAAGGAGTATTAATCATGTACTCAGTCACGAACACAAAGGTTACATCAGTTTACACGAATAAAACTGAACCTATAAAATCTTAAAAGAATCGAAGAGAATAAACAAACTAACAAATGAATACAAGCGCGTTATCAGCTCACAGCCTTAACCACCTARGCATATCACTGAAAATGTGATTACGGAAMWKGAAAACACTAGATAATTTTCAATAGGGTGGTACGTGCAATAGGGAGTAAAGCAATCTATAGGTGGCCTCATAAACCTTTCACTCTGTTTACCCCCATGCGTTCCGTTCCATAGGACTCCAAACACTTCAATCAAGATATGAGTTTGGAGTTTCGAGCTTTTGCTCCATGYTGGCTAAATTCAATGTGAAACCAGCAGTTCGTTGATAATGTAGGGTATTACATACAGCGAGAGGCAGGATTCAATGTGAACTATTGTTTTATGCGAAYACTGAGATTCTTGTCCAATGGCAGTAAATTTTAACCCTTAAGAATAAGAAAATCAAACCAAGAATTATTCAACGCTAGTGTAGGGTTAGAGAATACATTTCAGCACAATAAAAWGCGCGATTCATTGATTTTATGCTACAGTTGTATAGTGTAATTGCTATAGCCAATCAAGGCTCAGATGTACGTAAAACACACTAAGACTGACGTACATATTTCAATCTCTGTGTATTATAATAAATGGGCCGTTCTACTCGCATTGCCTTGAGGCACCACGCCCTCTAAAGAGGCGGATACAACTCCCAGTTTGCCTGTGATGTATGCCCCCCTGACCACGCCCATGCTAAGTCGATAGGCAAGAATCATAGCCTGACCGAAGTCTGCAATGCATGCTTTCGAATACATATATTTGCACACATGTGCAAAGACGTCGAGGAATGTTTGCTTGAAGTACATAAAATGTGTTGGCTYGGTRCACACAAACAYCAGAACTACTAATTTATGCTAGTAATTAGTAGAATCAATAATACGACAGCTTTCAAACAAAGCACACTGTTACTGGCCGAAGTCAATCTGAGGAGTGTAGTTGCCATTAACAGTACAAGAATGTTGATGAAAAACTATAAAATGAAAAACCTGTATTGTAACATATACAAATTCGCTGACGATTAATACTTTGTCGCTTTATACTAACCATTATTATAGGAACAAGATCGATCGCTATTCCGAACTAAACGAAGTATTTTGTATTATAATAGGCTACACATCAAATTCCTATGAAATATTATCAAATATTTACTTTTTCGTTTGGCTTGAAGTGATTTCAGATCACTGAATTTTGTGAGATATGCTTGTGGACAACTCAAACCACGCACACGGCAAAAACTCGCGCAGCAATTGATCGATTACAAAATAGAAAAACAATTTCCCACCAAAAAGGGAGTTTCCGAAATATTAATCAATTTTAGGATTGAGCTATAGCCACTACAAGTAACAAAACTTCCTTTAATTTACAAACAAAGCCTCTAAAGCACGTAGATCTGGGATGTGATCATTGATTTGGACCCCCACTTCAGTTTGTCRGTAACGTCAAGCGAAGTCTCTCTAGGGGACCAAGTCAGACTGGCATCATAGCGTAGCCCACGCCTAAATATCCSCATATATAGCTATTTACGATCTTTTGACAAAGCTTCTTATGGATATTTGACGCAAGTTCTTTGAAAGAATGCGGTTATGCGATCAAAATAGACTSAAAGTCAAAGGACGCTTCGACCCATGACGTGGTCACACTGATTCGCAGCGCACACTGAAACAAGTTTAAGAATTTTTGCCAGCTATTTTGTGCCTTTATTTCTCAACTAAACGTCTCTTCATTGCTTAACACGACAGAGAAACTGAATATTGGAAAACTATTCTATAGTATTGTTCATTGAATAGAAAGATCACAGTAAAATTGTACTTAGCCGCTTATAAGCGCAGCTCAAATCTTGGAATACCGAAAAAAATCACGTTCAGCTAGCTAAAATGGTGACGCATTAAAAAAGTGACTTCAAAAGTTACTATGCACCTGACGTATTTTCTTCAAAGGGCGTCTGGAAACCATTATCAATGCTAGGTTATTAATGTAATGAACTTCTGATTCGCGGTAAACTTTTTAGTCATTTGTCTGTAAATTCAACAGTGAAGTTTTGCCGATGTTTACGCATGAGAGAAAGCTATAGAGTTTGAAACAGTGGAATATTCTTCACTTCATTTCTATCTGTTACTAACTAGGATCATGTGAATAGCAGTACTGTGAACATACATTAAGAATTCTGCCAAAACAGCGCAGAAAATTTTGAATATTTCATGCAGAGAGCTGGTTGAAATCTCCTCACTGGGAGTCAAGACAGACTGGCGCCATGTTAGCAGGTTACGCGACGAGAGGGGCCGTGAGTTCTCTGTCAGCTCAACATGACTAACGTAAACAAACTTTGACCGGCTTTCAATGAATAATCGGTACAGAATTTCGGTTATTTCCGGGAAACAATGCTTTATTACTCGGYGGAGTTCTGTTCTGTTCTATACCTATATGACGTCATTATACAGGGTGACCGTTCATACTGATATTATGTCAGGTTTCACAAAGGTGAACGGACTGGTCGCACTTTATCAATCTATGGTTAAACCAATTCACCACAAAAAATGCGTTTTTAAAGATTTAGCRAAATAAGTGACGATTTTGTATTGGCGTTTAAAACCTCACTCTCCATTGACGGCATGGCCAAAATATTTTCAGTTATTTTCAAATATTTTCAATTATTGTCTTCGTTCGCCTAACGTTCGCCTTGAGTATCAGGCTCTCTCGAACTCGCCTGTATAGAAAGTAGCGTGGGCTTCCTGTGGTAAACATTTCTGAGCCAACATTTATGTGAGCAGCGGTCTATACTAAAGCAGCCATTCAAAAATAGTTTATTTSCTCGCTAAAAATGAGTAAATTTAGCTCTTTCAAAACACATATTTAATGAATGTTATGTCCTGAAAAGTAATTTAGCATTTCTTTAAGTTATTTGATAGAAAAACACTTTAATCACCGATCRAAATGGCGGAATACCAGGCAGTGATATTAGCTGCTGGAAGTGGCTCGAGAATGTACCCTCTAACTGAGAAAATYCCAAAGGCATTATTACATGTTGGAAATCTACCTTTGATATGGTATCCTGTCAATACGCTAGAAAAAGCAGGGTTTGAAGGTATGAYAGTTAAATGATTGATATTCATTATTTCTCCACATCAGCCTTTGGTAATTTGACATCATGTGGTATTTGATATTTTATTCATGATCGCTTGTCCCCTCTCATCA